ACCCACCCGCCCGAGTGAGCGAGCTCTGTGCCCTGCCACAAACGGTCCCTCAGCCAGAAAGCACAGTGGTGAGCACTGACTGCTCCAGCACACTTTGCCATGAGTGGCCCGTTTTCAGGTGCCCCAAACGGGTCCGTGGCACCGAGCGGTTTCAGTGACATGGGAGAATCCCAGTGCCACAGGGGAGCAGCCAGCGGGACTGGTGGTCCGGAAGGGCGAGCCAACGCTGAGCTCACCGGGAAGGTGTCCCGCGGGCGCGGCGGTGACGCACAGCCCCGGGACAGTTTGGTGAGGACTGGGCATGGCAATGACGCTGGTCCCGCTGGGGCACCTCCTCCGGTAGCATGGCCCCTGACTCCTGGGGCGCATCGCCCGACTCGGGGGTAAGAAGGGAGGTGAGCCTCCAAATTGCAGTACCTTGGCGGGCAGGAGACCTCGGTGTGATGTGCCAGGTTCTGACTGGGCTGTATTCTGCCTTGGCTTATCTGTAGGCAGAGATTTTTGGGGTTGGAGATGGCACACCCCAGCCTGGAGGGTTCGGCCATCAGGTCAACCCCGGGGGCTCTTCACCTTGAGGGAGTGTAAGACCTCCCTCAGCCCCAAATATTGCCCAGACCTTGGGGGATCTCCACACCCCCTAACCATGTGGCTTTCCCCCTAGACCCTCCCTGTGCCCTGCTGGTGCCAGGGGATGCTGGCATGCTGGTGCCGGCATGCCGGTGCCCGCCTGCCTGCAGCATCCTACACTGAGCCCGGTGCCGGAGCCCGGCTGTGCCATGGAGGAACCGGCCAGCAGCAGGGCTGAGCCATGGGCTGAGGGGCTGCACAACACCAACAACAACGCTTCCCCGGGAGGGTGGCCGGGCACCCGTGGAGGGCACCCCCTGGCACCTTTTGGCAGCCCTGAGACCAAGCCCAGTTACCTGGGGCGGGTGGTGCTGGAGATCGTGGAGTCGGAACGCACCTATGCTCGCGACCTACGCAGCATCGTGGAGGTGAGTGCCAGGGGGTGGGGGGACACCCCTTGGATGTGGGTTGTGAGGGCTGGCTAGTGGCACCAGTGCCACCGATGCCAACTGCAGGTGTTCGGCAGGGTTACTTGGGCAAGATCATTGATGCAGAGGAGCCGGTGCTGCGGCCAGAGCAGGTCAGCGCGCTTTTTGGCAACATCGAGGACATCTACGAGCTCAGCAGGTGGGTGCTGCC